ATCTTAATCATTGGATACGGTACTCCTTATTTTTCTAAGATCAAACCAATTTGAATGAAGTCGTAGGACAAAAATTACCTTGGCGTGCCGTTGCGCCCCGCTAAAGCCCAACACGTATGTTCGCAATAGGCGGATTCAGAGTATAGCTGCATAATTTGAGCATCTAGATACGTCTATGTGTCTCAGCGTTTGTTTGTCCATAGGCCAACACCAAGTACGCGAAGCCCCTTTAAGCCACATTGAATAATGTGGACTTGACGGATTTTTTAGACTGGCCCTGTACCGTAGATGTTCGACGACTTACAGCGTGTAGAGCGGGCATAGAGCGGGTGCCGCACACTAGACCCCAATGCGATTCGATGTCGAACCAACCCGATTCGAAATTTCGAATTATTCGACATCGAATCAGGCAAATTTGAAATCGAACGAATTCGAATCAGGCCGATTCGATTCGATATCGAACAATTCGCACAGCTCTAGTAGCAGTAACCGTAGCCGAAACCGTAACCGTAGCCGTAACCAGAATTTTCGGCTGGGAAAACTTTTCTTGACTTATATGTGGACAAGGACACACACTGTAAAAAATAATCACGGTCACCCATACGGAAATATGCCGTTTACTTAACCTACGGCGTCTCCGTACCTTGGGTTTCGTACCCTCTTCCTATAAGAGCCCATGTAAAAAAAACGTGGGTACGGAGCCAGGGTACGGAAAGGCACGGAAAAAGTCGTGTTAATTTTGATCCGGAAGTCTTCGTCTTGAGTACGGAGTCTGTTACGGCGTTCCGTACCCCCTTCCCTATGCTAGCCCATGTAAAAATCGTTGGTACGGTGGCAATGTGCGGCAAATTTCCGAACCGCTTTCGAAAATCACTCCCAAAAGTGAGGTACGGAACGCCCGTGACAGGCTCCGTATACAAGACTGATTTTTTACAGTGCACCTAACTCTTTGGAGGCCTCTCACTTATCGCGGAGACGTTGTATCGTTTTCAGTAAAACATCATTTTAACTGTCATCATCTCGTGAATAAGCAGAGACAACACCCTACACGATGCGATATCTCTAAGGAGAGTAAGAGGCCTCCAAAGTCAAGTATGCAGAGATCAGCAAAAAGCAGATCCGTCGTTGCTCAGCGACCGTTTTCTGATCCGTCGTTGTTCAGCTACCGCTTTCTGATCCACCGTTGTTCAGCTACCGCTTTCTGATCCACCGTTGTTCAGCGACCGCTTTTTGATCCGCCTTTGTTTCTCGGATGCGTCGAACTTTAGTGCAAAATTGTCCGTACCCATTTAATGTCTAAGTGGGGTGGAGCTAGAAACTCGGTGTGTGGGCGAGTCTGCTCGTTAATGTGTCAAACGATGCAGCGGGCTACAGAGCCTTGCGGGTAGGGTCCGAATGGAAACAGACTTACCGGGAGTGTATTGGAGAGTGGTCACAATGACACCATCGCTGCACATAGACTCGGATATACCTGCAGTAAACTTGGCCCGGCAAATGTATTCTGCTCCAGGATTGAGATCGCTCAGCAAGACGGTGGCCGTCTTGTCGGCAGAGCTGACCTCCAGGACAAAGATGTCCGTGGTTCCAGATGAATAGCAAAGGCAGAGGACCTGTCACATGATACTTCACCACTTACTTAACTTGCAATTGCACACTTGCAAGTATTTAACTTGCAGTTGCACACTTGCAAGTATTTAACTTGCAGTTGCACACTTGCAAGTATTTAACTGGCAGTTGCACACTTGCAAGTATTTAACTTGAAGTTTCTCACTTGCAAGGTTGAGCAGTTGAACACTTAGTTTACCATTGAAGACTTTGTCTAAATATTGTCCTAAGTATGTCTAGTCTGACTTATGTCAATTATCTCATCAGGGCTCACGTAACAGGCTTTGTGGTATATTACTGTTACGCCATGACGGGCCTATGGCATTCGTAGGCCTTCGGTCGGGCAAAAGGCAGAGTCGTAAAGAGGCCTGCGGCCTGAAAAGTCGCCAAATTGGATCCACAGTTTCTTATTTTGACAAGTTACTCCAAAAGAGACCATCAAATATTTGAGGAAACACATTCCTTTGTTTTGGGATCATTTTCGTGTTAGTGCCTCTACAGAGGCACCCTTAAAAGGTGTTATTTAGAACCTTTGTTTTTCCATTGTGACGCCAGACCACGTCTCGCGTAACAGGCTTCGCGATATCTCAGGAAACACTGCAACGCTGCGACGCGCACATATAGCGACCCGGGTGGAACGAACTTGACTAGGTACAATATCGCCGAAGTGTGCTATTCTTTATCTAAAAGTATAAGAAAACTGCAAGTTTTTTCGACAGAATGAACTTTTGAAGGAAGTTTTCGTGTAGTTGTCCTCATAAAGTGTACTTGTAGTTAACTTTTTCTTTACTCTAAATCTTCACTCTTAATATGTTAACATCAATGTGTACTTTTAGATAAGTTCGTTCCATCCGGGGAGGCCTGCGGCGCTGACACCGAAACGATTTAAGGAGAGGGTATAGGTGAACAGGGCGTTCCGGGCCCAAAATTTGACATTATCGAACCATTTGTCGGGTCGGGGTCTTATTACTTTAAAATTAGGGACATGAAACTTCTGCTGTTCGGTAACGGTTTTCATTAAAAGTTCGAATTTTGACAGATTGTTTTCGACGCGTCTTAACAACAATGTTCTATCTGCAGCGTGCGGATTACACAATGTTCTATCTGAAGAGTGCTGAATACACAATGTTCTATCTGCAGCGTACGGATGACACAATGTTCTATCTGCAAAACGCGGGTTTCGGGACACCTCTAAAGTAATGCTTATTACTCCGTAACAGCTCGTTCTACTTCACTTTTTGCAGTCAATAATTAAACATTGGAACTTTACAATTCTTTCCGTGTGCTCAGATTTGCCTTAATGTCTTCCAGTTACTTGCAAACCACACAAAGGTGAAGGGCTGCGCCGAACCCCGTTTTGCAGATAGAACATTGTGTAATCCGCACTCTGCAGATAGAACATTGTTTATTCAGCACTCTGCAGATAGAACATTGTGTAATCCGCACGCTGCAGATAGAACATTGTTGTTAGGACGCGTCGTTTTGTAAAATTCAACGTTTCAGTGATACTAGATAATCTAGGGACCCTTAAGCCCAAAAGAGGGTGTGGTTCGACCCGCAATGTGTGGTTTAAGTATTACTACTCCCTTCACCGTTAAAAATTTCTTGGGATTTCCCAAAGATTCACCTTTCATCACTATTATAAATTCCCAGAGGACTCCGTTCTTAGTTTTTGTGCACTAAAACAGGTGTTGATGGTGAAAGTTTTCATGCGTCTATGTGTTTCAAAATTGAACTCGAAGCGTGAAATCTACAGAGTACTTTGGGAAATCCCAAAGGACTTTCGCAAAACTTTTCACGAGTGTGTTCCTCCGTGAAATTCCCGGATTTTTTCTAAGAGTGTTTACAATTCTGTGACATGAAGCCTTTTTTACGATTTAATAGACCATTTTGTCCTTTTCACGTTGTTTCCGCCAAGAAATGCCCCATGTAATATAGCGCCGAAACGGTACAAAATAGAGCAAAACGGACGAAATTTTCGCCCGTAGAGCGAAAGTATCGACTAGAACTAGCATACTTGCACGCAAAATAGTGTGTTTGCTGAAACAGAAGTGGGTCTTTATAAATTTAGCAAACCGTTTGCTGTTTCAGCAAAATGTTTGCTAGAACAGCAAAAATTTAGCGGGAACAGCAAAAAATGTTTGCTGTTCCCATAGCAGCAAAAGAAAGTTAGCAGCTATGGTAACAGCAAACATTTGAATCATCTGCTCTAACGAACTGTTCCTGAACGGAAGTTTTTTGACAACTATTTTTGACAGTGCGGATCCTTTGTGCGTTAAAACCCGATTCTTCGCAATACAAACAACACTGCTGTTTGTCACGAACAAAGAGTGTTTGGGACCCAAGAAAGCTACCGACCGTTATGTTGAACGACGCGACGGCTGGCGCGTCCTCCACTTTCCAAACGAGCTCCGCTTGCGTTGGACGGGCCCGCGCTATGTAGCCATCCAGTGGTCTACTCCCTGCAAAGGGAGGGTGGCGAAAAATATTGTTGTCAATTATAGTACGCCTGTAGTACACGGCCGTAAATTTTTAAAGCGTAGTAGAACATGCAGCAGCCCGTACACTGTTGAAAAATATTGTCAAGTTATCACGCTCTTTGTAATGACTAGTCTGTTAAAAAACAACATCATTCGTTTTCATTGGCACGTGGCAAAATTTATTCTATTTCGATCGTAGTGGTAGTGGTGCATAACAATGATTCCTACTTTTCACCATGCCGTAACACTACAACACAACAAGTTTGTGTAATTACAAAGTGTTGATGCAGGCTGAGGTAACTAACCACTGTTTTGGAATGAAAATTAGTTTCAGAAAATTGGGTGAATGTTGTTGGATTACAACATGTGTGTTGTTTTTTAACAACATTTGTTGCTGGGCAAGTCCAGAAAAAATAGTAAAAAATACGATTTTACTTAATCGTGGGAGACAACGGAGTTATCCTTTACTAAATTTTGGAAAATAACAAAGCTGTATTTGGCTGAGCCTTAAAGCAATAAGAAATAAAGAATCTGAATAAAAATAAGAGGCGAAGCCTTAACAATCGAGTCGAGTAGCCCCCAGGAGTTTGGGAGATCACAGCCCAACTTATGGGGATCCAACCTTCCCAATGGTAAAGTTTATAGGGTTAATGTGAGTCAGAGATATGTTGTTCTGATGAGAGTACAACAAAAGTTGCTGCGAAACTAATTCTCGAGCAATTATTACCGTTGGAAAGATAACTGAGGTCAAGGTTAAAATGAGAGCTTGCTTCTAAAACGCCTTCTGTTGCAGTCTGTGCGTTGGCAAGCCTGCGCATGAGAACGGCATGGTAGAACTGCACTCTAAAAAATAATACAGAATTCTGTATCAAATTTGATACAGAATTCTGTATCAGGCTCTTGTGATATGGAAAGATGTAACATGGGTACAAAATTCTGTAATCTGATCAAAATGTTACAAAATTCCGTAAATGTTACTATTTTCTGTAACAGATACAAGATCAAGTAACGTTGGATACAATTTTCTGTATCCCTGGATACAGAATTATGGAACTTCGTTGGCGCAGTCTCCGGGAGCCCCGGTGGCATTACACCGGGTTCCAGCGAATTTCTCCTCAGGTAGCCTTGGTGGCCGCGCGGGTAAAGGCGCGACTTCCTAATCCAAGGGTCTGGGGTTCAACTCCCGGTGAGGCAAGGTACATTACTTGAAATGAAATCGAAGGAGTCAAGTCCCCTAGAAAAAAAGAAGAGTGGGAAAGGGAGGAAGAGTAACAAAATGAAGAATTACAATTTTAAAATCCCAAAGATGTTCTGTATCATGTGATACAGATTTTCGTATCCATGTTACAGATTAAAATCTGTATCAAAAATGATACAAAATTCTGTAACATGTGATATGTGAATTACTGCGTAACAATGTTACAGAATTTTGTACTGATTTTTTTTAGAGTGTGAGGTATATCTCGTACGCGCGAGGAGCGGCGTCGAGTAAATGGGAAAAATGGGTACAAAAAAAAACTAAGGAGAAGAGAAGTTGAAAATTACTTCCCCATGATAATTAATTGCCAACATCACAAACTCACAAAACAACGGAAACGCACATCGCTTCCGCGACCAGGGATCAGCCTCTTTGTCTACAACAATGCCTAGTTTATTTATTTGTATTATTGTTTAAGTGTGGATACAGAGTTCACAAAGCGCCGCAAGCGTGATTTTTCACGCCAGGCGTGATTTTTCACGCCAGACGTTATTTTTCATGCTTCCTAAGCTCCACACGGCCAATCAGGAACCGACTTTCATCACGTCGGGCGTGAAAATCACGCTTAGCGTGAAAATCACGCCTAGCGTGAAAATCACGCCTAGCGTGAAAATCACGCCTAGCGTGAAAATCACGCCAAGCGTGAAAATCACGCTTGCATTTAGCGAACTCTGTATCCACCTTTTAAACGTAGGAGTACGTGCAGCAGCCCGTAGTGGCTGAGCTTTAGTCGTTAGTGTGCTAAATTTCTCAAATGTAACGGTTAAAGGAATATAGTAATAGTAATGTACAGATGGAAGGCCAGGGAAGAACAGGAAAAGGGGGAGGGGATG